AATTCTGTGTCTGTCCCTGAGTAACAATTCTGTGTGTCCTCATAACAATTCTGTGTCCCTCAGTAACAATTCTGTGTCCCTCAGTAACAATTCTGTGTCTGTCATCCTCAGTAACAATTCTGTGTCTGTCCCTGAGTAACAATTCTGTGTCCCTGAGTAACATTCCTGTGTGGCCCTCCCCCCTCAGTATAATAAAATTAAAGTGGCCTCAGTAACAAAAACTGTGTCCCTCACAAAACAATTCTATGCCCTGAGTAAACAATTCTGTTTCCCTACGAGTAACAATTCTGTCCTGTCCTCAAAGTAACAATGTGGCCCTGAGTAACAATTCTGTGGCCCCTAAGTAACAAATTCTGTGGCCCTCAGTAACAATTTCTGTGTCCCTCAGTAACAATTCTGTGTCCCTAAGTAACAATTCTGTGTCCCTGAGTAACAATTCTGTTCTGTGTCCCTGAAGTAACAATTCTGTGTCCCTCAGTAACAATTCTGTGTCCCCTGAGTAACAATTCTGTGTCTGTCCCTGAGTTAACAATTCGTGTCTGTCCCTGAGTAAACAATTCTGTCTGTCCCTCAGTAACAATTCTGTGTCCCTCAGTAACAATTCTGTGTCCCTGAGTAACAATTCTGTGTCCCTGAGTAACAATTCTTGTCCCTCAGTAACAATTCTGTGTCCCTCAGTAACAATTCTGTGTCCCTGAGTAACAATTCTGTGTCTGTCGCTGAGTAACAATTCTGTGTCCCTCAGTAACAATTCTGTGTCCCTCGTCAGTAACAATTCTGTGTCTGTCCCTGAGTAACAATTCTGTGTCTGTCCCTGAGTAACAATTCTGTGGCCCTAAGTAACAATTCTGTGTCCCTCAGTAACAATTCTGTGTCCCTGAGTAACAATTCTGTGTCCCTGAGTAACAATTTCTGTGTCCCTCAGTAACAATTCTGTGTCCCCCTGAGTAACAATTCTGTGTCTGTCCCTGAGTAACAATTCTGTGTCCCTCAGTAACAATTCTGTCCCTGAGTAACAATTCTGTGTCCTGTCCCTCAGTAACAATTCTGTGTCCCCTGAGTAACAATTCTGTGTCCCTCAGTAACAATTTCTGTGGTCCCTAAGTAACAATTCTGTGTCCCTCAGTAACAATTCTGTGTCCCTCAGTAACAATTCTGTGTCTTGACCCTTAGTAACAATTCTGTGTCCCTCAGTAACACTTCTGTGTCCCTGAGTAACAATTCTGTGTCCCTCAGTAACAATTCTGTGTCTGTCCCTGAGTAACAATTCTGTGTCCCTGAGTAACAATTCTGTGTCCCTCAGTAAAATTCTGTGTCCCTCAGTAACAATTCTGTGTCCCCTCAGTAACAATTCTGTGTCCCCCTCAGTAACAATTCTGTGTCCCTGAGTAACAATTCTGTGGCTGTCCCTCAGTAACAATTCTGTGTCCCTCAGTAACAATTCTGTGTCCCCTACAGTAACAATTCTGTGTCCCCTGAGTAACAATTCTGTGTCCCTCAGTAACAATTCTGTGTCCCTCAGTAACAATTCTGTGTCTGTCCCTGAGTAACAATTCTGTGTCCCTGAGATAACTGTTTCTGTGGGCCTCAGTAACATTCTGTGTCCCTCAGTAACAATTCTGTGTCCCTCTGAGTAACAATTCTGTGTCTGTCCTGAGTAACAATTCTGTGTCCCTCAGTAACAATTCTGTGTCCCTCAGTAACAATTCTGTGTCTGTCCTCAGTAACAATTCTGTGGTCCTGAGTAACAATTCTGTGTCCTCAGTACAATTCTGTGTCCTCTGTCCCTACCTGTCTGTCCCCCTGAGTAACAATTCTGTGTCCCTAAGTAACGTTTTCTGTGGCCCTAAGTAAACAATTTTCTGTGGCCCTCAGTAACAATTCTGTGTCCTCAGTAACAATTCTGTGTCTGTCCCTAAGTAAACAATTCTGTTTTCTTTACAGTAATTAACATTTCTTTCTGGCCCTAAGTAACGTTTCTGTGGCCCTAAGTAACGAGTTCTGTGGCCCTAAGTAACAATTCTGTAGTCCCCTAAATAACAATTCTGTGTCTGTCCCTGAGTAACAATTTCTGTGTCCCTAAGTAACGTTTTCTGTGTTTAACCCTCAAGTAACAATTCTGTGTCCCTCAGTAACAATTCTGTGTCTGTCCTCAGTAACAAATTCTGTGTCCCCTAAGTAACAATTCTGTGTCTGTCCCTAAGTAACAATTCTGTGGCCCTAAGTAACGTTTAGCTGTGGCCCTAAGTAACAATTCTGTGGCCCTCAGTAACAATTCTGTGTCCCTCAGTAACCAATTCTGTGTCTGTCCCTGGTAGTAACAATTCTGTGGCCCTAAGTAACGTTTCTGTGGCCCTAAGTAACAGTTCTGTGGCCCTCAGTAACAATTCTGTGTCCCTCTCAGTAACAATTCTGTGTCCTGTCGTTTCCCCTAAGTAACAATTCTGTGTCCCTAAGTAACAATTTCTGTGTCCCTAAGTAACAGTTCTGTGGCCCTCAGTAACAATTCTGTGTCCCTCAGTAACAATTCTGTGTCTGTCCCCTAAGTAACAATTCTGTGTCCCTAAGTAACGTTTCTGTGGCCCTAAGTAACAGTTCTGTGGCCCTCAGTAACAATTCTGTGTCTCCCTCAGTAACAATTCTATGTGTCTGTCCCTAAGTAACAATTCTGTGGCCCTAAGTAACAATTCTGTGGCCCTAAGTAACAATTCTGTGGCCCTCAGTAACAATTCTGTGGCCCTCAGTAACAATTCTGTGTCCCTCAGTAACAATTCTGTGTCTGTCCCTAAGTAACAATTCTGTGGCCCTAAGTAACGTTTCTGTGGCCCTAAAGTAACGTTTCTGTGGCCCCCTCAGTAACAAACGATTCTGTGTCCCTAAGTAACAATTCTGTGGCCCTAAGTAACGTTTCTGTGGCCCTAAGTAACGTTCTGTGGCCCTAAGTAACAAATTCTGTGTCCCTCAGTAACAATTCTGTGTCCCTAAGTAACAATTCTGTGTCTGTCCCTCAGTAACAATTCTGTGTCTGTCCTAAGTAACGTTCTGTGGCCCTAAGTAACAGTTTCTGTGGCCCTCAGTAACAATTCTGTGTCCCTCAGTAACAATTCTGTGTCCCCTAAGTAACAATTCTGTGTCCCTCTCAGTAACAATTCTGTGGCCCTGAGTAACAATTCTGTGTCCCTAAGTAACAGTTTCTGTGGCCCTAAGTAACAATTCTGTGTCCCTCAGTAACAATTCTGTGTCTGTCCCTGAAGTAACAATTTCTGTGTCCCCTCAGTAACAATTCTGTGTACCCTGCGTAACAATTCTGTGGCCCTCAGTAACAATTCTGTGTCCCTCAGTAACAATTCTGTGTGTCCCTCAGTAACAATTCTGTGTCTGTCCCTAAGTAACAATTCTGTGTCTGTCCCAGAGTAACAATTCTGTGTCCCTAAGTAACGTTTCTGTGGCCCTAAGTAACAGTTCTGTGGCCCTCAGTAACAATTCTGTGTCCCTCAGTAACAATTCTGTGTCTGTCCCTGAGTAAACAATTCTGTGTCCCTAAAAGTAACGTTTCTGTGGCCCTAAGTAACAATTCTGTGGCCCTCAGTAACAATTCTGTGTCCCTCAGTAACAATTCTGTGTCTGTCCCTAAGTAACAATTCTGTGTCCCTCAGTAACAATTCTGTGGCCCTAAGTAACAATTCTGTGTCCCTCAGTAACAATTCTGTGTCCCTCAGTAACAATTCTGTGTCTGTCCTGAGTAACAATTCTGTGGCTGTCCCTGAGTAACAATTCTGTGTCCCTAAGTAACAATTCTGTCTGTCCCCTAAGTAACAATTCTGTGTTCCCTCAGTAACAATTCTGTGTCTGTCCCTGAGTAACAATTCTGTGGCCCTAAGTAACAATTCTGTGTCCCTCAGTAACAATTCTGTGTCCCTGAGTAACAATTCTGTGGCCCTAAGTAACAATTCTGTGTCCACTCAGTAACAATTCTGTGTCCCCTGAGTAACAATTCTGTGTCCCTGAGTAACAATTCTGTGGCCCTCAGTAACAATTCTGTGTCCCTCAGTAACAATTCTGTGTCTGTCCCTGAGTAACAATTCTGTCTGTCCCTGAGTAACAATTCTGTGTCCCTCAGTAACAATTCTGTGTCTTGTCCCTGAGTAACAATTCTGTGGCCCTAAGTAACAATTCTGTGGCCCTCAGTAACAATTCTGTGTCCTGTCCCTGAGTAACAATTCTGTGGCCCTAAGTAACAATTCTGTGGCCCTCAGTAACAATTCTGTGTCCCTCAGTAACAATTCTGTGTCTGTCCCTGAGTAACAATTCTGTGTCCCTGCAGTAACAGTTCTGTGGCCCAAGTAACAATTCTGTCTGTGCCCTCAGTAACAATTCTGTGTCCCTGAGTAACAATTCTGTGGCCCTAAGTAACAATTCTGTGGCCCTCAGTAACAATTCTGTGTCTGTCCCTGAGTAACAATTCTGTGTCCCTCAGTAACAATTCTGTGGCCCTCAGTAACAATTCTGTGTCCCTCAGTAACAATTCTGTGTCCCTCAGTAACAATTCTGTGTCTGTCCCTAACTGGGAGTAACAATTCTGTGGCCCTAAGTAACGTTTCTGTGGCCCTAAGTAACAGTTTGTGGCCCTCAGTAACAATTCTGTGTCTTTCCTCAGTAACAATTCTGTGTCTGTCCCTAAGTAACAATTCTGTGGCCCTAAGTAACGTTTCTGTGGCCCTAAGTAACAGTTCTGTGGCCCTCAGTAACAATTCTGTGTCCCTGAGTAACAATTCTGTGTCTGTCCCTAAGTAACAATTCTGTGGCCCTAAGTAACAATTCTGTGGCCCCCAAGTAACATTTCTGTGGCCCTAAGTAACGATTCTGTGTCCCTCAGTAACGGTTCTGTGTCGGCCCTGAGTAACAATTCTGTGGCCCTAAGTAACGGTTTCTGTGGCCCTCAGTAACAATTCTGTGTCCCTGAGTAACAATTCTGTGGCCCTAAGTAACGGTTCTGTGGCCCTCAGTAACAATTCTGTGTCCCTGAGTAACAATTCTGTGGCCCTAAGTAAACAATTCTGTGGCCCTAAGTAACAATTCTGTGGCCCTCAGTAACAATTCTGTGTCCCTGAGTAACAATTCTGTGGCCCTAAGTAACAATTCTGTGGCCCTCAAGTAACAATTCTGTGGCCCTCAGTAACAATTCTGTGTCTGCCCTGAGTAACGTTTCTGTGGCCCTAATAACGTTTCTGTGGCCCTAAGTAAAACAATTCTGTGGTCCCTCAGTAACAATTCTGTGGCCCTAACTAACGTTTCTGTGGCCCTAAGTAACACAATTCTGTGGCCCTCAGTAACAATTCTGTGTCTGTCCCTGAGTAACAATTCTGTGTGGCCCTAAGTAAAACGTTTCTGTGGCGCCTCTAAGTAACAGTTCTGTCTGCCCTGAGTAAACAATTCTGTGGCCCTAAGTAATCGTTTATGTGGCCCTAAGTAACAATTCTGTGGCCCTCACTAACAATTCTGTGTCAATTCTGCGATCACATGTCATGAATGAATGCATTATGGGTCAGCGCGCGCTTGTCTGCGCGCCTTCCCAGACATCCCCGCTCCGTCGCCGCACATGTCGCCGCCATTTTAGGAAAAATTTTCGATTCGCGCATCCGAAGTCTGCTTATTTTCGGATTCGGCGCGAAAAAATCGAAATTTTTCTAACATTCGAAGCGAATTCCACTTCGCCTACTTCGATTCGCTCGTCTCTACCCATAATCTCAGGGGAAAAAAAAAATCAATATTTCTCTATGGAGATGGTTCACATCTCCACTCCAAGCCACATGAAGCTCAAATATGTTTTGAAGCTACTTTTGTAGCTCAAATTGGGCATATATGCACATTTTTCGCAAGTTTACCTAGCAACAAATGATGCAATAGATGATATTGGGCACAATTCACTAAGCGGTATCTTACCACATCCGAGTGTGCGGTAGGATACCGCATAGCATTAAAAAGAAAAAAAAAGTCTGAATTTACTAAAAAACTCTACTAAAATACTGCATGAGTTATTTTATCAAGGCATGCGGTATTTTAGTAGTGAAAGCTGTCAGCGGGGTTCCCCACTGACAGCTGATTACTCATAGGTCATTAGGGTGGCCCATTTTCTCTATTGGCTAATAAAAAACTTCAAAGCTCAAAACACTGCTACAAATGCTGTATAAAAATAAGCAAAGTAAAATATGTACGAAAAATCTAGCTAAAAACGCTGAAAACCACTATGCTCAAATATGAATGGAGCCTTAAGAGCAACCAAATCCCTATAAGAGTAGTCACAGGACTCTGGAAAAATTTAGGACCCTAAACCTAGCAGGCAAAAACAATCAATGCTCCAAGTTTAGGAAAATCTGCAGAGTCCAAGGTAAACAAAGGATTAGGGTGGCTACACTGTAGTTGCCAATGCAAACAGAATTTAACTAGGGGCACTCCAGCTTAAGGCAGGGTCCTTACATCCTTTTTACTGTTTTTCATCCTTTGTTGCATCTCAGCACTCCATGTCTAGTGTAGCCTCTATACAGCTACTTCCTTTAAAAATGCATGCTTTTCAGGGATTCCAACCAGCCTCTACTCACTCCACCAGGACTTCCTGAGCAAACACTAGGCAGCAGCTGAATTTAACGGATGGAGAGGTGCAGTGATCTATGACATCAACCCCTCCTTTTTTAAAGAGTAACTCCACTTTTGTTGAGAAAGAAACATTCCCCTCTGGGTGATCTATGTACTCTGCAAGGTTTTTAACAAACTTTGTTGCAGAGTATACCTTTTTTTTTATTCTGAAGAAACAGCTGTTTATCTGTCTGTGTCTATGTGCATAGTGAATCTGTATGGTAGTGGTTTTATAGTTATCTATCAGTTGCTGCCCATGCAGGGGTCTAATGAGGAAATTGACAGGGTCTGCATCCTTTTAGACATGATTTACCTTTGGGGGAATCTCACCATAACATTTTTGGCTGCAGGGGATGCCAAAAATCAAAATGTTATCTTAGTGCAGACTTCTAGGAAAATCGTAAAGCAATCACTCAAGCAGGAAATTACATATCTGGGGGGAGTTCTGTACACCATTTGTGTACAGAACACTTTCAGGTAGCCAAAAAATTATAGCACCACAGATTGACAAGGAAAGGTCATTGTTAATAACATTCAATTACAATATGGCTTGAGTCACAATTGTATTTGCTATACTAATTATTTTATTTGCTTTTTTTTTCTCCCCACGAAAATTGAGTTACCCTTTAAGTCCTGACTACAGATACAGGCCAGGCACACCTAACTCTTGGGGACTGATTTACTAAAACTGGAGAGTGCAAAATGTGGTGCAGCTGTGCATGGTAGCCAATCAGCTTTTAATTTCAGCTTCTTCAATTAAGCTTTGATAAAAAAAAACGAAGCTGATTGGTTTCTATGCAGAGCTGCACCACATTTTGCCCTCTCCAGTTTTAGTAAATCAACCACATAGCGTCGTTCTCTTCTAGAGTCTGTGCTAATGAGATTCTAGAGACATCCGGAGCAGCAAAACTGCACCACTGCTGGTTTGGAGTAAGTAGGCTTTCTTCTTTCCCAGGATGACTGCCCCTTTGCAAACTTGTGACAGACTGTGGTTTGGCTGGGCAACAGCCACTTTTAAAAAATATGAACACCTGTGGATAGCTTAGGCTTATGCAAGCTATCTGAAAGCTCTAGTGATGAAACACATATGCAATGCAGTGCCTGAGATAATTAGGCTTTCATTTCATTCATTTATGCAGCACCACATGTGCACAATGTTCTCATATCTCTTAAAACAGTTGTTAAATTAATTATGACATACATTCTGTATGCCTAATTCTAATATTGCTTTTAATTCGGAGCTTGAAAGGATCTAGATAACCTCCATTTTGTTGATGTACGCCATTTTAAGTATTAAATTAGGTTTTTTTGCAGATATATTAGAAGTTTAATGAAACTGTTTTAGCTTGCACCAGAATGTATAAATAATAAAAGATAACATGACCCTGAAGTTTTCTTTGTCCGGCCAATTCTCAGAAAGCTAGCAAAAACAGTTTATACCAAGAACTGTATATGTCATGTTTCATGTAGTTAGCTCATGATGGAAACTTACAAGTTACGGTTTTGAAACTCGCTCCCCCCTCCCTTATTTTTCTGTATCCTATATAACCTTAGTAATGTCTAATAAAACTTTGAACATCTCTGAACATAAGCTGCCATTATTTCCGTGTTCAAGGGGTGTTCCCAGAATTCTGCTGATAAACTAGGATTCTCTCCACAGACCGGGGGTCTCTGAGGGGATAAAGAAAATCGATCCCTTCAGCTGGGGGTTTGTCCGGGATGACCACCCACCGCACTTGGTAAGTAAACCTTTTGTCTTTTTAAGACTAAAAGCTCTTTCTTGCCCTGTGTTGCGGGAAGGTCTTGAATCATTCTTTATTGTCTGTATAGACCCGTGATAACCTGTAGCTGCTTTTGGTAAGCAGACTTAACTCTTCGGTAGAGTTACAAAATAGTGCACTATAAACAGTGTTTTTTGGTAAAACACACAGATTGTTCTTTGGTAGAACATAAAATAAATTGTTCTTTGGTAGAAGACACTGTCCTTTGGTAGAACAGTGAAGAGATACCTTTTGGGAAGTTATCAAATGGTTAATAAGTCTGTGGAGCAGATTCTGGTTTATGTCTTTTGCTTTTTCTTTCTGTCACGTAGAAGTATAAGATAATTTATTGTGTGGAACAAAATAAGATTCTAAGGTAAGATAATCTTATCCACTGTTTAAATATGGGTCAAGGAGGTAGTTACCCACCAGGTCCCCCAGAAAAGGGAGACAATTGTAAGGATTATGTTACTAGAGTTTGTGGAATGGATTATTATTTAATAAATCCCTGGGTGGATTGTATGGCAGGTTGAACAGAAGCCATGGGAAGTACAGACCCATTCCAGAAAAAGAGGAAGGGATTGCTCCTCTAGTGAAAACATTTTTAGAGACAGGTATTTTAGAAGAGACTGTTTCTCCTTACAATACACCTATCAATCTCCTGTTAAGAAGCCGGATGGCTCTTACAGGTTTGTACAAGATTTGAGGGCCATAAATAATTTGGTGGTTCCAATAGCCCCAATAGTGCCTGATGTTCCATTACTCCTCACCTCCATCCTATCCGATGCAGAATATTTTACAGTGATTGATTTAACAAATGCATTTTTTTTTTTTGGTTCCTGTGGACCACCAGACGAGGGCGTTATTTTGTATTTATTTTCCGAAATCGCCAGATGACCTGATGTAGAATGCCCCAGGGCTTTGTAGATTCACCTGCAGTCTACTCACTTGCCCTCCAGACCACACTGAGGTCCTGGACCCCTCCCAATGGTTCGGTCCTCCTACAATATGTGGATGACCTATTGATTTGTAGTCCAAGTCAGGCGGCCAGTCAGGAGGATAGTTGGTCTCTGTTAGAATGGTTGTCAGGGAATGGTCACAAAGCATTTAAAAAGAAACTGCAATGGTGCCAAAAACAGGTTGAATACCTTGGTTTTACTCTAAGTCATGGTGAGCGGAATGTCAGTCACAAAAGAGCTGCGGCTCTCATGGGTCTACCCCACCCACAAACAAAATGGGACATGCTAACTTTTCTTGGTATGATTGGTTACTGCCGCCAATGGATACCTGATTGTTCATTCTATGATCACACTCTGAGGTCTGCCACACTTTCAAAGTCATCTGACATTCTCACATGGTCAAATGAAATGGTTGATGACTTTGTGTACCTGAAGAATGCTATGGTAACGGCCCCTGGTCTTGGACTACATGACTATAAGAAAATGTTTCATCTGTATGCTAGGGAAAATTGTACAACCATGGCGGGCGTCCTGGCTCAGGAACATGGAGGCAAGCTCCGCCCTGTAGCTTTTTTTTTCCAAAGTAGTGCCAACTCAGGTTCAGAGCATGCCTGCTTGTCTGAGAGCTGTTGCATCCTGTGCAATGGTGGTGGAAATGGCTATTTATTTCACATTGGGACATGAAACTACCCTACACACCACACATCAAGTTTCCTTACTACCAGGGGCAACTCATGGGGCCCCCAGGCAATAGGGGATCATGGGGCCCCTGTGTCCTTGCCCACACTCAGAAAAGCCTATAAAAAAGGTATCAGGGACATTTCATGGGGCCCCTACTGACCCCGGGCCCTCGGGCAGTGCCCGAGCGCTCGAACGGTCAGTCTGCCCCTACTTACTACTGAAAAACATACACACTCAACACATGTCAGCATAAAGGTTGAGCGGATATGCATGCTGGACAGACTGCAAGGAAACACCCTGGGAAACATCTCTTACACACCTGAGTCCCACTCCGTGTACCTTTATATAATACACCCCTCTTCTGCTCTTCATATTACTATCCTCTGTTCACAAATCTCATTTCTTTACCCCTCTGCTCCACCCCAAAACTTGTACATCTCCCCCTCATTGCTATCATCTCCCTACTA